ACTACGCTAACCATTTCACACAGAAAGCCCCAATCCTTTTAGACTAAGCCTTGTCCAATAAATCCAAACTTCCCCCAAGACAGAGGATTCGCGTAATAGGTGGGAGGAGAACAAATTAACGTTAGACCTAAAAATAACCCTCGAAGAGTGCCTTCTCGCTTTACTAGATGTTCTAGGGCTTCTCAGTCTGGCTCTTGTACTTAAACCTGCCCCAGGAACCCATCCTCACCTGTCAGGATAGTAGCCCCAGTGCAGAAGAACCTGCTTATCCCTCTTCATGACTGGCCGTACCCATTCCTCTGGGGATAGAGAGAGCAGAGAGAAACATAAGCTAAAGGGAGATACACACAAAATAACTCTGTACACAACTCCTATTGCAGCAGGGGATCTGGAAATAGGAACAAAGGTGGTAAGAGGATTCAGGGCTGAAAGGAGAGAAGAGCCCAGGCACTGCATAGCTGCTGAGCACTCCTCCACCTCCTAGTCCAAGCTGTCCACTGCAGTGACCAAGAAAACCCTGGTCTCACCTTCCTCCAGGTTCCCTGGGACAGGATACACAACATGGGAGGCATTGTTCTTATCCTCAGTGACCGTTCCCTGGATGGCACAAGGAGAAGCAGGTAAGTATGGTCCCCTCCGAATTACTCATGGATGTAAATAAACCAAAGTAAGGTTTAACCACAGATCTGCCTTCCTAATCATATTTTGCTCAGAATGGTATCAAAGTTGGTTTGCATTCTCTAAGCACACATCAGCTAAGTGGCAGAGAGAAACAGCTGGGATTGTGCAAATAATGGAGACAAATCAAAGAATTTTAAATTGCAGATAATCCTCTGAGTAGATAATCTGTCACGCATGGGAAACGTACAGTCGATTTTATGTCCCTGTATGTCCCAACAACATCTGCTTGTTATAGAGTTCCAAAGAGCAAAGATTTCATTGATCTGAAACCAGGCAATCTCTAGCTCAGTGGAAGTAGATGCTCTTCCCCCAGGCACATGCAGTCTCTAGGAACAGTGATCCAAATCTGCCAAGACTGGGAAAGGGGAGGAACAGAGAAAGAGAGTCTCAAGGCTTTAATTCTAATACTTTTCCAAGTAGGTAGGGCTACCTCAGGGCTGCTTCTTGTATGGAAAACTTCAGAAAGAGAGTCATGGAGTTTCTAAAACCTCTCCTGACCCACCCACTCACCTGATGTCTCTTGATAATGTCTTTTAATTTCCCTAGCAGTTTGGGTTCAATTTCTGGGCACAGAAAAATGTTAGGTCGAGACAGGCAGTTATTCTGTAGGGAGAAGAAACAAATGGGATGAGATTACAGGGAAGGGGTTTTGGATTCTCACCAAGGGAAGGGAGATGGATGGAGGAGGTTCCTATTACCTGCACCAAGGATTTCTCAATGGTCATGAACATTTCCACGTTGCGGTCCATGCGTGATGGATTCTGGAAATCGTAACGCCGCCTTGTAAAGAGGTAATAATCTAGTGAGTGGTATAGCTCAAGTCTGGGGATGAGGTCAGAGTATGTGACTTTTTTAACATGGGAAATTAGGAGGCAATCGTGCCCTCAGCTTTGCCAAAATCACCTGGGATCTGGGGTTCACTGATCATAACTCCGTGAATCACTTTGTACTTAGTGCAAAAGGACAAAGAAAAGCTTGAGATGCCAACCTAAGAATCCCTTTTCCTCTACAATACACACACTGATGCACATACACATACTCACTCATTCTTGGAGACTATTTTGGCTCTGACTCCCAGCCAACCTATCAGGTCAGGCCTACTGACCTAGCAAAGTAAGAGACTTGCAAGAATGACTATGCTCTCCCACCCCACAAAGAGCCCAGGGAATCATAAAGGGGGATTCCCTCTAAACTAAATGTAAGAAGCACAGAGAGAAGAGAAGGCATCTCACCATCCCTGGTCACTCTTGAATTTGTAGGCAGCTGCAAGTATGTGGCACAGGGAGCCTCCTGCTTTGAAATCTAGGAAACATTTGATCTACAAAATTGAGAAGGGAAGAAGTATGTGAGAGTTACATCCTAAATTTTCTTATGACTTTAACAATCCTTTCACAAAATCCTATGCTGAATTGATCTCCCTCTTGAAGCTGGAATTCTTTAACCCCTGTGCCATTCTATCATGAGGCCTGGAAGAGACGAGAGAAAGAAACCAATATTCACAAAGCCCCGCCATATGCTTTACTGGGTTACCTCGTTAACCATTACAGAAACCCTACAAGGTAGGTGTATTAATCCCATGGAGAGATGAAGAAACCAAGACTCAAAAGATATAAATGGCTTGTCCAAGATCACAGAGACACCAAGTGGCAGAGCCAGGATTTGAACACAAGCTTGTGCAAATCCAAATCTCATATGTTTTAACCATGCCATGAGTTTCATGACTGAGCTTAGACACCGTGAGATAACCTGTTGCACAGAATATTCCTAGGACAAAGGGAATGGTAAACTGGGGGGCTCTGCTAAGCCAGTAACACCCCAACCAGGGAAAGGGATGGTAGGAAATAACCCAAATCTCAAAAATTACGAAATTTACAAAAACACAGAAAAAACAACTCCCTCTCGGGTTTGGAGGCTTTGCCCCCGTGCTTTTTGCACTCACCGGCAGTTTAGTGAGCGGTGCATTGCTGACATGTTTGCCAAAAACTTCTTCCTGAAATTGTAGCAACTGTACAACCAGGCTAGACAGGGACTTGTTGGTAGGTGGTTCAGCTTGTATATACTGGGGAAACAGGGAAAAGGAAAGAAAAATACACCCCAGATCAATTATCCACCATCTCCCTTATTTCTTCCCCAGGAGCTCTGGAAGCATCTGGGGCAGAAAGAAATAGTGTCTTCTTCCCCCACGTGTCTAGTCTCTAAAAAGAAAATGGCAGAAGGAAGGCCCTAGATGCCCCTCACCAAGAAGTTGAAATTCTGCTGCCTCCAGCCTAGGTTACCAGTCTTTGGTGTTGGAGGTAAAGGCAGTCTCCTACTCTTCCTCAGCAACACCCTAAAAATGGAGTTGCAGGACCCTGATCTCTAGCCAACAGCACTGAGAGTTGTAAAATTCTGAAGATTCACGGAGTTCAGGCCACAGAAGCAACATCTTGAAGGCTCTAAGCGAGACAACAGTCTACTTCTTGGGGTAACTTTGTGGAAGGTCAAGATTCCCTCGATAATACAGCCTAATAAAAAAGATGCAAGGAAGTAAGGTAGGGCAAACGGACTGAGAGAATAGTTTGTACATCTGCTTCTGCTAGGACTGGGCACAAATGTCTTCAGAGGCCTTGCTAGATGGAAAAAAAAGACCAGCTACTACCCAGCCTGGTGGGAAATAGCAAGACAACATCTGTCCTTTCTGAGGAAACTGTATCGGAGACAAGCAACCCTGGGCCTTCTTAAATATTTCCATATTATGCTACCTAGCATCCTAGCCTTCTGTTCTCATTTTAAAACTGTGCCAAGAGGCTAACTTTCTCTTTACCTTTTGACCCCTTTTTCCTCAACCCTGATCACAGAGAAAAGTGCACCTTTCAGTGGGAGGTGTAAAGAGATCCCTGAAAGAAAAGGCAAATGACAGAGAGCTAAGAGCTTGAAAGCTGAACCAGGTCACAGGCTGTCAATCCCCCCAGGGCCACAGACTAAGCCCCTAGACTGATCTCCCTTCCAAAAGGTCAAAGGTAGATGCCTGGGAACCAGAGCCTCACGCTGGGGTACAGACAAGCCACAGACCCAGCAGCTGTTTGTCAAGATCCTGACACCCAGAGAGACCTCCCAGGCTCATGACCAGGATCAGGGGGGCGTCCTCCTAAACCACCCATCACACTTCTGACAGGCTGCAAAGCTGGGCAGGAAGAACTGGGGAGCTGAAGGAAAGTCAGAAAGAGAACCCCTAACTGGGGGTAGTGAGAAGGAAGAAAGGCAGACCATCTCCAGAGAAAAGCCCTATGTAGAGATGCTCCTTTCAACCAGGCCTATAGACAAAGACACCACCAGGAAGAGGTCTGGTAGAAAAGACAGGTAAGGCTTGAACCCTTTGTTCACTACCTTATATCTCCTGTTATGGGATGGGGGACTACGGACATAAAGTGTGTCCTAGACTCTGAACCCCAAACCCAAGGCAATGCAAGGCCAGGTGGTGAGGTGACTTCAATGTGAAGCTGAGGAATGGTTTTATAAGGGGTAGCTGCCCAGGAACTCCTATACCCTGACTCCCAAAGAGGTTCTGTTGCCCCTTGTACGGAGATGGGGGACGAGCGATAGACAGGTGATCCCGGGGTGGGGGCCTTTTTCAGGCTGATGAGCAGTCCAGGGCCTGCTCTGTAGCTGTTTACCCTCCCGCTTTCATCATCTCTCTGAACACACACAAAGCACCGGGGAGGCCTCAGCCTCGCTGGTACCTGGCCCCGTGGGGAGCTCTGGCGGGCACCGTGCCGGGCACGCTGTGTGTGTGTGTGGGGGGTGTGCATTCGGCACCCCGTCCACCCCCGGCCGTCTCTCCCGGAAAAGCCCGCAAAGCGATGGCTTATGGAGGGTGGGCAGCTGGCACCGGGACCCGCCGGGCCAGCGGAGAAAAACAAGGGGCAGAGGGCGCAGCAGTGGGGGCGGGGGCTGGAATCAGAGGCTGGGGGGGCGGTAAAAGAGGCTGGAGGAGGGGCGCGGGGCGGCGGAGGGCGCGCTGGGGCCGCTCAGGACGCCGCGGGGGAGGGGCCGCGGGCCGCGGGCCGCGGGCCGCGGGAGGGTGGGCAGGATCCGGGGGGGCCGCGGGCCCTCGGTCCCTTTGTCCCGCCCCCGGGCCCCGCGCGGCCCTGCCCGCGTACCTTTTTGTAGTTCTTGCCGAGCCAGAGCCGCACGTTGTCGAACTGGGTCACGGTGTCCGCGGCCTCGTAGTACTTCACGTTGGGGCCGCCGTCCTTCTTCCGCACCGCCATCTTCTCGGGCTCGGGCCCCGCCGCCGCCCGCCCCGCTCAGCTCCCGCCTCCTCCTCCGCCCGCCTCCCGCCGCCTCCCGCCGCCGCCGCGGCCGCCGCCTCCCGCCGCCTAGGCTGGCCCCGGCCCGCGCAGCGCCCCCTGCCGGCTGGCCGCATGCAGCGGTGGCGGAGCGCGGGGCGCTGGGCGGACCCTGGCGGCCTCCCCGGCGGTGGCGGCGGTGGGAGCTGCCGGAGCTTCGGGGAGGAGGCTGTTTCCTGGAGGGGGCGCACACTCCCCTGAGATCGCCCTTTACCGACCTGAAGCCTTTTCTCTTCTTGTCTTTCAGCCCGGGAAGTGGGGTACCTCTCTATCCTACCCCAAGGGGATGCCCGTGGCATGAGAAGCCCCCAGCGCATAGCTCCGAGTAGTCCTCACCTTGCCCATTTCTAACCCCACGGAACCCCTAATCTCAAGGAACCCCGGACCCCTTTCCGCAAGAAGTTCTTTCCTTTCATCCATCCCCAGGAGTTCCCCGTTTAAGCTCTTTCTGAGCCTCCTTCGCCCCTAAGGCCATGTCCCAGGTCCGCCTCTCACTCCGTAACCCGAGGAGTCCCCTAGCCGCTACCCTGGGGGCCCAGCCCCTCCTCTCCAACTGCTTCCTCTGCAGGCCTCACCGTCGCCTCCTGAATAGCTTTACGCTCCTTGAGACCCTCATCTTCGTGGGGCGGGAGACCCTCCTTCCTTGGGTCACCCGGTCCACCAGACTCTATTCCTCTGAGCGGTGTGGAGGAAGAGGTAAGGAGCGGGGCGGGAGGAGGTTACAGGGTGTGTGTGTTTGGGCCTGGCCCGGCTTCCCTGTGTCACACTCCCTATGCGGACCCCTTCTGTAAATGCGCGGCGGAGAGTGGTTTTGGAAGTCACGGTGGCCGAGTGGTTAAGGCGTTGGACTCGAAATCCAATGGGGTTTCCCCGCACAGGTTCGAATCCTGTTCGTGACGGCCGCTTTTTTTTCCGCTTCAAGAGTGTGTGAAGGGAGCTCCTTGTCTTCCACGTGTCTTTCGTGCACTTCCCTTTGTCTCAGAAACAGAAGCCAGAAGGTCTCACCTCTGGATTTGGGGGGAGGGGGCGGGAATGAGGGTGACCATGAGAAGCGTAATTATGCACCACTGTATTGGCTGCTAGGATACAAGGCACTTTCCGAGTTCTGTAACTTCAGCTTTGCAAGCAGAGTTTTGGCATACTTTGTTTCATTCTTTTGGGAGGGCATAGCAAAGGATTTGGTTGAAGAAAGGTTAAGTTTTGTTCGGGAATGTGAATAACTGTTGTGCTATAATAGTCAAAACTGGAGTTTCCAGGTAAAGAGGGCACCTCTGGATTTCATGACCAGACGTCACATCTTGTAGGTCTGATTACAATGAAGACCCGGGAAACAAGGCATTCTCTCACTGGGATTGCTGTGAAGAGCTGCACCTCAGGTATCACAGGGCTAGTGGGGAGTAACCTATTGAATCATGAACGCTGCCAATCTAGCTGGAGCCAGAGTGTGCGAAGATAACTCACTTTTTATTGAGTGCTCATTATGTGTCCTAAATTCTCCATGTTCCAAGTTCCTAGCTAGGGTATTAATCCTTCTCTAGCCTCTAACCCTCCTGTACTCACCTCAGCTCGTTCTTCCTATTCCCAATTGCTCACTGTGGGGAATATCTAGGATACCTGTTGAAGATGTTCTCTTTGTATTTTATTTCTTGCACAGCCACATCTCCAAGAAGGTTCCCCAGGGGGCAGGGGGTTCAAAGGTGATTCACAGAGCTTTTTACACATTTACACTTTGGAGTTTCCCACCTTCCTATCATTGCTTATGCTGTTTTTTCCACTCATGCTGTTTTTCCCTCACCACTTCCTTCCCCCTGCCCCCCACACCATTATTATTTGCCATCCTCCCTGTCTTTTTACCCCTCATCTTTGAGGTTCTTGATTACAACAGCTAGAACCTACCACCACCATCCACTAGGTTGAATGCAAGGCATCTCCTTTGACACACTTCTGCAAAAATTAATTAAAATAAAATAAAACAAGTTACATTATTCTACCTCCTAAATAGTCTCAACTGTGTCCACTTTTCTCAGAGGTGAGTGCAGGCTGGACCCACCACTTGCTGAAGGTAGGGGTACTTTTGAGGACCACATGAGTTGATGTATATAAAGCTTCACTAAAGCATCCACACTACCCCGGTTTAAGGTAGCCGGGGACCTTAAACCCTTCCATGGTTGCTTTTTGTATTTCATGACCTGGTCCCTTTTTTTCTCCCCACTTTTTCATATTCACTACATTTCATCCACTGGTATTCTGTTAGTTACTGGTGGCATATAGTATTTTTCTGTGTTCATGCTGCTCTCTGCCTGAAATAATCTTTCTCATCCTTACCTTCTTCTCAGTCTCCACTTAAATGTTGGTTCTCCTGGGAAGTCTTCTCTAACCACCTGTCTCCCACCATATCCTATTCTTTAATCTTTCTATGTGAAATCCTTCTTCCCCCATAGAATATACACTCTTGGCACATATAAGCCACTCCAAAAAAACCTTTTTGCGTACATGGATGTTTTTTAACATAGTCATGTGTACATGCTTTAATCTTCACTCAGACTGGACTGTAAGCTTCTTGAGAGTAAGGACTGTGTATTTTATTTGTTTGTACCTCCTCTACTAGGCCTTAGACATAGATGTGATAAAAAAATGTACTGAATGAATAGAATCTAATAGGTTCTGTACTGGACTTCCTACCAAATCCCATTTTGCACACACTCTCAAATTTAAATATCTGAAGAGCCAAGACCAAAATTGACCAGCAGAGGGCAACCGACAACTATGTTGTGAAGAGAAGAAGGCCCCCCCCCCCATGGTTTACAAAATGGAGGATCTGGATCCAGAATAAACTGGCTGAGGTTGTTTGGTACTTGAGATACTACTTTTCACTCTCAGATGCTTGACTTGTAACTCTGGGGGTGAGAGGCCAAGACTCTGAACCTTCCTGTACAATAGATAATTTCAAATTGTAACCATCCCCATAGCCCACCACCCACACAATTCCTTCACCCTTCCATCCCAACAAATCCTATCTCTCTATCCTTATATTTTTCTTTGTGTTGCATAACGAGGCTCCCTTTCTCACTATTCTTACGTATTTACTACATTCTACCCACTGGCATTCTTCATTTTCTGGTTCAGTATTTGGCCTTGCTCTTCTGAGCTGAAGTTACCTTCTGCACCTTGGCTTGCAGTCCCACTCATTTCAACCTCCTAAGGAAGCTTCCATGAATATCCTTCCATAACAAGTTAAAATTCTCCTACTCTACTCATTCAATCCTTCATTAATTTAGGACAAACAATACTATACCTTCACTTGACACTTTCAAATCACCATGTTGTTTTCTACTCTTTTTTTTTTTTTTTTTAAATAAAATGTGTATCCTCTGGGACTTCCCTAGTGGTCCAGTGGTTAAGACTCTGAGCTCCCAATGGAGGGGGCCTGGGTTCGATCCCTGGTCAGGGAACTAGATTCCGCATGCTGCAACTAAGACCCGGTGCAACCAAATAAATTAAAAAGTAAATAAAATAAAATAAAATGTATACCCTCTGCCTCCAGCTCCATGCTATCTTTAATAGCCTGTGGTAGAAAACTTTGCTATGTTTGAAACCATTGATTTCTTACTGGGCTTGAGAGACATTGTACTTCCTTGCTTTTCTCTTAGAACACTGTTTCTCCATCTCATTTTCTCCCTTCTTCTGTGGAGTTTTACTAAAGCTTCATTCTTTTCCCTCCTCGAGAAAGAGAAACCCCAAGCTACCATTCCAGGCATGGCCTCTCAGCCACACCATCGTCCTATATCTCCAGCTGGCTATATGTCTGCACAGCTGACCTAATGTCACCTAAAAGAGCAGTCCCCAACCTTCTTGGCACCAGGGACTGGTTTCGCGGAAGATGGAAGATGATTCTTCCACGGACAGGGGTTGGGGGGGATGGTTCAGGCGGCAGTGTGAGCGATGGGGGGTGGCAGATGAAGCTTCGCTGGCTCGCCCCGCCGCTCCCCTCCTGCTGTGCAGACCCTTACCGGTCCGAGGCCTGGGGGTTGGGGACTCCGACCTAAAACACAAACAAAACTTTTTCTTTCCCAGAATCACATTCTCAACTTTTTCCATTTGTTAGTACTATTCTCTCAATTCCATCTATTTCCAACCTTAAGAATTATCAGACATTTTCTATTCTGCCATGCCCATCATTCATCAATCATTGCTTCCTCCATCACATCATCTATTTCATGCTTGTGTTACAATGGCCTTCCAGGTGCCCCAGTTTCACCAAACTTAAATATCTAAAACACTGCTTTCATCGTATTAATCCCGTCTAGGAATTTCAGTGCCCTATCTGTTCAAACACATGCTCCTATTATCAATATGCCTTGCCTAAATCACCCATTTTTTAAATCCTTAATTCTTTCCAGTAAGATACCCTAATCTAATCAGCCTGGGTGTCTCCACATCACAGCCTAATTCCTTCCTTCTGTCTCTTCACCTTAAAACCAATGACTAGCTAATGCCACCCTATACTGATTTTTTCAGCTACAAATTCTTAGATCTTAATCCAAATTGCTTTTATGTGACTAAAAAGCTAGTGTGGGGAAATCTAACACACAGGAACTTATTATCCCCTTGCAAGTTGTTGACTTGTTCCAAATGTTAAGAGGCTTGGATCTCTGAAGTTTATCCAGTAAAGCAAATCATTAGAGGACTTGAGCTGAAATGATCTCAACCTACACTTATTTCAGGAATGCTCTCATAGCACAAAACATTTCTGGAACTCCTTCACAGCTAGTTTATGAGCCACATTTAAATGATTCATTACTTCAAAATTACTTTTAAAAAAAAAAGCTGAGCACTAGCCACCTTTATCATGCATCTGTTTTCCAGATTTTGTTCCAGATTACTTCTGGAAGTCCCTAAGGTCACATTCTTAGCTTTCTTCGTGTTCACTCTAGTGGCTGTATTCATTCCTGGAATTTCTTGATCACCTTTGGGAAGATAACTCCCAAATCCACGTCTTTAACCCTAACTTCTTTCTCTTAAGCTGTAGACCCACATTTCCTTTTTCTGGCTAACCCCCTCTTATGGGGAAGCACTTCCAACCGATTGTTCCCCAAATGAGCTCATTACTTCACCCCTGAAACCTGCTCATCCTCTTGTCCTCCCTATCCAGGTTAATGACACTGTCCTCTCATTCACAGATTAGAAACCTCTGTCTTTATCTGTGACTCATCTTTAGTTACATGCCCCTTGTTATGTGCACTGGTTGGGAGCCCAGGCTCTGGAATGACTTTCTGGGTTCAAATCCCAGTTCTTACTATTAGCTACGTGAATTTTGTCCTTTGTCTCGGTTTCCCCACATAGAAAATGGACATGATAATAGTCTTTTTTATAAAGCTGCTGGGATGACTAGATGTTTAATATTTAGTTCGTGACTCACGGTACGTGCTCAACCTGGCTGTTAGCCCCTTTCCTCATTGCCAATATCTGATCCTATTTGGAACTCAGCTCCAATGATTCCTGAGAAAACTTCCCTCCTGCATCCCACCAGGTAGATAGTTGACCCCTTTCCTCCTGTTGTCCCATTGTACTTAATTCCTACCTATTAGCAATATGCTATTCTGTATTTCCCGTTATTTGTTCAAGTGTACGTCACCTAAGCTTTAAATTCCTTTCAAGGAATATACAATTATTTGTGTATCTCAAACGCCTAGAACCACGTCTGGCACTTGACTGGTATGCTGTAAATGTTGGCTGAGTGAATCTGGTCAGTTACTAAGGCCTGTTGATTTTTCCCCCCTCATGTCTCTGTCCTCTTTCCTGGTCTATTTCAAGCTCTAATCCTCTCACATGAATTACTGCAAAGCTTACTAATATTGTCACCAAATTTTCATTGTTTTCCCATTGTCATCAGAATCATGAATTGGAAGTCACTCCTCTTCTCAAAAACCTACCTGTAAAACTAAAGTCCAAATTCCCTGCCATGTATTCAAGGCCTACCAAGAATTGTCCCTAAATTATCTTTAGTTTTATCTTCCATTGCTTCCTTCAACAAACTCTACGCTTCAGATTACACTAGTCTCTTCCCTCTTCAACATGTCCTTCACCTTCATTTGTTTTTATTCATGGTATTATCTCAGCTTAAAATAGAGATTGCAAACTCTGGTTGACTCCCAGAGAGATCAGTACCTTACCCAAGGTTACACATCGCAGAGCTGTCGTCCTTGAAGTCTGGGCTCTTAGCCACTCCACTATCTTGCCTTCACATCTCCAGACCAAAACATCTCCAAATATGGCCCACAGGGACCAGAAGCATCATGTGAAAAATGCCAGTCTCTGAGTAGCGGGCCCACTAAGCCCCACTCCCAGGTGATTCTGATGAAGTATAGAATTAATGACCTCTGCTCTAGAAATGGATCTTCCCTGACCACCAGATCTAGGGCAGAAACCCTGCTTTGTGTCTGTCCTGACCCTTACCCCAGTTTGTAATTACATTAATTACAGTTTGTAATTACATCTCCCCTTTTCCCAATTTATTTTTCTCCTAGGACTCATGCTACCAAACATAACATGTTTTTCTTATTGTCTTGTTTCTTGTCTGTCTCCTCAACCAGAGTTTTACAGCCAGGAGGGCAGGGGCTTTGGTTGTTTTGTCACAGCTGTATGTATCTCCAGCACACAGGACAGTGCCTGGAGCTCCATAAGTATGGGTTGAATACACTGATGAGTAACTAAAAAAAAAAACAAAAAACCTCTGGTGGATCCTATGTTTTTGTTTTGTTTTATTCTTTTTTTGGCCCACATTAAAAAATATATATATTGAGCCAACATTTAAAAGTTGTGACATTTAGCATAAACATTAGGATGTCCAGAAGTTCTTGAAAAAATAATAGGGGCAATGTTGGGTTCTTGTACAGCGGTGACCAATCAGAGCTGGGACAACTGGGCCTATGTCCTGATGTTACACAACATAAAGAACATCTCTCCTGTGATGTCTTTTATCCCCAGAACTGGTTAATTTGAATCTCTCTGACTCTAGGGGATTCCCTGGTGGTCCAGTGTTTCGGACTCTGCGCTTTCACTGCTGTGGGCCCAGATTCAGTCCCTGGTCCGGGAACTAAGTTCCCACAAGCCACGCAGTGTGGCCAAAAAATAAATAAATAAATAATCTCTGACTCTAGATCGAATCCTGTTTAGGAAAAATAGGGGTTAGAGGAATAAGTTAAAGGACGCTGTGAAGAAGCAATCAGTCAAATCCGAGACCACTCTCTAAACAACTGGCCCAATTCTCTTCAACAAATAAGTGTTACCAAAAAAAGGTTGTTCCAGGAATCCAGACTGAGAGAGTTAAAACACATAACCTTTTGTAATGGCATGGTTCCTGGATTGGATCCAGGGCTGGACAAAAATCAGCTCTAAAAGTACTTTTCTTAGACCAACTGGGGAAGGGTGAACATAGATTTGTATTAGATTAAGGACACGTTGTTAACTTTAAGCATTTGTTATTTTGGCAACGTAGAAAAATGTTCTGAATTTTCAAATGTATATACTAAAGTAAAAAAACAACAAACCCTCTCTACTTCCCTGCCCACTGTCCTGACCTTAATAGTCTAGAACAGGTTGGCACATTTTGTGTAAAGGACCAAACAGCACATTTTAGGCTTTGTGGTCTGTAGTTCTATGGCAACTACTCAGCTCTACTGCTGTAATCTAAAAGCAGCCATAGACAATACACATAACACAAATGGGCATGGCTGTGTTCCAGTAAAACTCTTCCCACAAAATCAGGCAGCAGCATGCAACCTGTAGTTTGCCAACCTCTGATCTAAAACAAATACACCTCTTGGAGAAGTCTTTCCTGGAACCTATCAGAATCAGTGGCTTTATCTTCCCTCTGCTCACATATCTCTTGTGGTAAGATCCACTTCCCACATTTATGATGTCTTCTTATACACTCATCTCAATTAGGGAGTAAGTTCTTTGAAGGTAGGTGCCATTTTGCTACATGAACCCCCCCCCCCAGCCCCACCCTAGTGAGTTCTTGGCGAATAGATATTCAATGAATACTGTTTCCAAAAAAACAAATCTACCTTAAAAGGAAGATTTGGCATCATTCATGACATTCAAAAGAATGAGCAGCAGGTTCTAAAAGTAATTTTGAAGCTTAAAAAAAAAAAAGCACTACCGGTCTCATTAGAGTACATATATCGCCACTTGTGCGCTATACTGTGATACGTTCATCAGTATCTTCTAATCAGACCTTGTATGTATGAAAGTGTAGTAAATTCAGTGGGCACAGGAATGTCCTTATGCTTTTTTTTTTGGCGCCACTAAAGTATCTAGCGTGCTATTAGATTTGTGTTAGGTGCACGATAAATGCTCAACACATTTATAATATGGTACACTGTGGTAAAAGTTTTTTTCTCATGATAGGGAGGTGGCAGCAAATGCCTACAAAAGGATTTATCAAGATTTGACAACCACAGCAGGTGCAGTCATTCCAGGTTCCTTTCCTCCTGTGTACTTTCTTGGTTAGGAGACACTGGGGGTGGAGGCTTCCCTGCCTTCAATGGAATCCCAGATTCCAAAGCAAAGGTGCTTGTGGGACAAGGGGGAAAGGTACTTGCATATCGTCTATAGAAAATGTCCCCAAATCCCAGAACACATAGGGAAGACATGGATATGGAGCAAAGGTAAACCCTGAAAAGAACACAATTCAGATGACAGGTGAGAGTGCTTCAGCTGTGCAGAACAGGAGTCAGGAGGGAAGGATGTAGGAGGGTACACAAGGCAAAGAATATATGAGGTGCACACCCCTCCCAGATAGAACTCCTCCTAAAACAGAGGTTAGTTCTAAGACAAGAGTAGGTTACAAAGCAAGGAAGAAGTCAGGGGAATTAAGGTGAGAGAAAGGCCAAAGCAGAGGAGAACCTTCATGAGGGGAGTGATGTGAATTAAGAATTGAGAGAGTTGAGTAAAAGATTTATTATTAGTGCAGTCAACACCATGGAACAGCACATATATAACACAACTAGCAACCTGCAGAGACACTAGTGCAAAGGGTAGGGAAGCCTTAACTGAGCTTCCTGGCTCCATCTTAGGGTGACAACAGGAGGGTATGGGCCTGGGTAAGGCAGGCAGGGGCAGAGGGGAGTGGAAGAAATGTAGTAACCAGACTAAGTATAGCAGCGTTTTCAAATTCCTGAGCACAATGTCCTGGAGCTGGAACATATGACTGTTCCTCACCCCCTTCAAGCTGTATTCCCTCCTCCCCACAGTTCCAGTGGAGCCATGACCCAGCTACCCAGACCTACCGCAAGCTGGCCTGGAAAAAAGCTCCAAAAAGAGAAGCTTTATGGCCATCTCTCTCCAGCCCCACTTCCACCTGCATATCAAGATAATCATACCCACTATTCCTCCCCTTCTCTTACTCTGCTAGTCACCCCAGGGATTAAGGAATGCCCTGGGCATCCCGAAATGCAGCTGAAGTCGTAAGGGGGTATGGGTGAGACAGCACAGCCTGTACTCAGAGACATAATTTCTATCCCATCTTGCCTGATGAAGCTTAGAACCCAGCTATATATATATCTCCAAGGAAACCGGGTGTTGGGGGGAGTGGCGGGCAGGATTTCTTCAAAATTAATACTCGAAGTCCAGAGTTTTACAGTGAGACCCTAGATGGGCTGGGAGCAAAGTTCTCCACAGGGCACAGTCATTGATGCTGGACTGTCACATCCATCACTGGAATAGAGGAAGCTCCTCATCTCAGATGGGTTATGGAGGACTGGGGCAGACTTCAGTTCAGCCAAGGACTCCCTTAGCCTTTCCTATATTAAAGCCAAAGGTTGTGCTGAGAAGGAAAAATATAAGACAGACCCCATCCCCGTCCCACCCTATCCAAAAATCCCCACAATAGGAACAGCAAAAGAAAAGTTTTAAGTTTTGTAAATTTTTTTTTCTTTTTCCTTTCTTAAAAAAAAAAAAAGTAAATAAATTAAATTGCCAACAATGTGGCTGGGCTGGAAAAGTGGGGTAGCCATAATCAGGCCATTCTTAAAAAAGAAAAACTGTGAGGGAGGGAGTAAAATATAAACAAACAATGGCCAAAGAAAATTATCAAAATAACTAGTTACAATCACAGGGCTGAGAGAGAGGGGTCTATGGAACTATTATGGCCTGTGCCAGAGGCAGTGCCTACCCAATTTCAGCAAAAGCCAGAGAGCTGCTTCCTGCTGAGCATATTCACCCCAATGGACTAACCCCTCACCCCAACCCTGTCATTCCCTAATCGTGAGAAAGTGTAGGAAAGAAGAGCTCATCTGGAAATTTTCGGCATCCCCACCTGCACACCTGCAGACCCGGCGGGAGCCCACACCTTTAAGGTGGGCTGAACAGGGTATTGCTTGGCACAGAGGTCCAGTCTTCCCCTAAGGGCCACCAGCGATGGCCTACTGGCCTCATTATTTCTAGGGTTTTGTTCCATCCTTACCATTTCTTTAGCATGTCTGCTCCCCAGAGCCGCCCTCTAAATGCTGTTTAGAGAGTCAATAGGCCTGCCTGCTCTGGATTCCCTGGTTTTGGAGGAGGGGAACAGTTAGAGATGCCTCACTCCATCCTGATCCTCTAGAGAAAATGAGTATCTTTGTGCTTTCTGAAAACATCTGGAACCAGGACCCTAGGCAGGAAAACAGAAATAGAGGTGGGGACTTTCCCAACCAGATGGAAAATATACAGACATTTTAGGGGAAGAAATTAGGCAAATGGAGGGAATCTGGGTTTCCCACCTGAAAGCCTGAGCAGAGTGCCCTGGGGCCCTCTTCAGTGGCAGAAGAGCAGGGAGATGTGTGGCTCTAGCGTTAGCCACGGTATTAAGGAAAGTGGGGAGGACTCAGGACCCCGCTGCTGGAGTGACAGTATTTTCTGATTTTCATCTCTTCCAGATAGCCCGTCGAGATCTCCTATATCTCTTCCACGCCATGCGCAAATATCATGACAAGCCCTGGCTCCTGCACCATGTCATCACCCATGTGCTGGTTCTCACAGGCCATCACAACAACAGCCTGCTTGCCAGGGATGCGCTTGGCCACGTAGTTCTCATAGTAACGCCGGTTCATCTGTCTTGTCTCTAGTGTGGCCAGACCCTGGGGCCAGCTACGCTCATGGGCATTTTCGATCAGCTCGTTGACAATAGACGCAGGACAGCCACTCTCCACCAGGGAGCGCTTGATTACAGCCTGGAGTACAGCATCTGGGGTGGAGATCATCCCTCCCCAGCGGGTCACTCGTGCTGGCTGCAGGGAGTTCACCCACCTGTGTGGAGGGAGTTGGAGGTGGTCAGTCCAGCTCGTCCCCTTTCTCTGCATTGGCTTTTCTCCTAATAGGAACGACTGCCTGCTCTGCACTCAACTTAACTCGATTCCTCCTTCTTTCCTTCCATCATTAGTTCAGAAACTCCAGATCTTTTCCTAGTTGGTCCCATCTGAGTGTCACCACATGTTACTCACCAGATTAAACTCCACGAGAGTAGGGTTCCTGTTATTTTTCTTAAAAATCCCAATACTTAGCACATGGTGCCTGGCATGTAGTAAGTGCTCAACAAATGTGTACTGAATGAAGCAATTATTCCTCTATACTGTGTCCCTCGCAGCACTATTTGCACTATACAGACTGACTCAGTTTAGTCTATGAACTATGCAGAACTCCAGAACTGAAAGGGATCTTAGACTTCGCTTGTTTACTTCACTTGTTTTTGCTGTATTTTAGATCACTTTCCTGGATTTGTACTCTCTTCTTCTCTGAACTGTAAGCTCTCTGAAGTCAGGGACAATATCTTCTCTTTTTGGTCTTCCTAGCACTCCCACAGCCTTTAATACAGGGCTTTGTACATGTGGGTACCCATCTAACTCTTGGGTAAGCTTTCCCTTCCAACCACCCAAAAGAATATGAGATCCTCTGCTAGGGTTGAAGGTTATCGCCTCCTCCTCTGGCCCTGTTCTTCATCCCAACATCTGAGAAGCAGTGCCCCCGGCCCAGGCCTCTTCTTACCCTCCCCCCAAGGCTCAGTGCCAGGACGTGGGATGAATGACTCCACGTCCTGAGTGACACTCACTCTAGGATCTCGTTGTACTCAATCGTCTCCTCCAGGCTCTGAAGGTTGGGGTTGACACTGCGAATTGCACGCATGTACGCCTTGAGCAGCTGGATGTCTCGCTTCTGTGTGGGGGGGAGGAGAACAAGGGATAATGGCTAAGACAGACAGTAGATGAGAGACAAAAGTTTGTCTGAGAATGAGGGAAATGGAGAGATCTGAGGAACAACCAGAGTGGAAGCTTCATGAAGACAGGGATACGACTGTATCATTCCCAGCTGTATCCCCAGTGCTCAGCATAGTGCCTTCAAGGGAAGGCATTTGATAAATGTTAAGTAAATGAATGCCACTGATGGGATGAAGGGAAGCAAGAAGAGCTCCAGCCTGATTCACTGCTATGCACAGGCAGAGTATCCACTGACCAGGCTCTCAAGCGCACGCACAGATCTGCCGCTCACATCCACGCCTGCCACCCACAGGCCACAGGCGCGAGGTTATCTGCACGTGAAAGACGTGTGCTGCCCTGTGTTCTCTGCGCCCTACCTGCTCTGCCAGCTGGTGTTTGTGTTCCGCTGAGGTCTTCTCCAGCTCTGCAATCCGTGTCTGCTGCTGCTGTGCCACTGAGCGCAGGTGCTTAATGCAGTTGTGGTTTGGCAGCTCATCTTTGGGCATCTCCAGGCTGCCACCCAGGGTGGGAAAAGAACAGGATAGGAGCATTAATGGGACATGTGAGCAAAGGCACGTAACTGCTGAGAGGGCTTTTTCCTACCTGAAATGACTAACATTCATTCATTTCCAACATTCAGGCGCCCTCTTGCTTATTGCCTTCATTTCCTTCTCCCCAGCTCTCCCTCGTCCCTTTGCTGTCTACTTCCTCTGGGCCTCTTTCCCTCTCTAAGACAGTGTTTCATCTCCCACGTGGCTCTCCTTTCCTCCTACAGATTCTGCCTGTGCACTCATTCCTTCTGAGAAGCCCTAGATTCACAGCCCTAGCTATCAGTATTTAATCAAATATTTCACACCCCAAAGAAAGAAAAAATAGGACAACAGGGAATATGAGAAGCCTGGATATTAGAGCAGTCAATCTGACAAAGAGAAAAGTAGTACTGGATGAAAGGGAGGAATAAAGTATATCAGTCTTTAGTGGTATCATAGAGATTGCTGAATTGCTGTCTCCCTTCTTTCATTAAAGCAAGAGCAAAAAGATCGTAGCTTGGAAAGCAGCACGGAAGTGAGATCTTGGAGCAGGGAGCCAGGGGGGCCAGGAACACTCCTTGCCTGCAGGAGACCTCTTCAGCTAGCGAGCAGGGGATCCAGAGACAGGGGTATAAACGGGAAGGCCCTTATCTGTGTGGGCAGAAGAAGGGCAGGAATCTTACCCACAGCCCTGTTCACAGGTCACAGGCCGTTTTGGGTTGTGCTCACAGTCACTGAGGTGAGACATGAGGTTGTCAAGCCGGACAATAGCACTGCAGCCAAACACAGCGTTGTCGCAGGCGATCTGCAGCTTTGACAACATGTTCCGCATGATCCGAGGTACTGGGCGCAGGTGAGCGACCGTCACAACACTCCGGTCCACCGGACACGTCTGCTGCTGAGAGAACCACTGGGTGATGCAGGCGTTGCAGAAAGCATGCTCGCAGTGAGGCGCCTAGAAGGGAGAGCAGGGCAAAAGGGGCACAAGAGAATTAGCAGGAGCTAAAAGCCTGGGTACGATTAACTCCGCAAAGCCAATCAAGCCTCTGCGCAGCTTCTAGGACCAGAGGTCCCTGGGGTCACAGCAAAATATAGATCTACTATGGGCAAGGCATTGTGGGGGACAGGCTTCAGATATGTTTCCTGTGCCCAATAGTCCAAATGGATTGTGACGTAAGACAAACAAGTAAAAAATTATATAACAGTAAGAGATATAAATAATATTCCAGGACAATGAGAGAGAGGACATAAGGAAGTCAATTTTTTTTTTTTTTTTTTGCGGTACGTGGGCCTCTCACTGTTGTGGCCTCTCCTGTTGCGGAGCACAGGCTCCGGACGCGCAGGCTCAGCGGCCATGGCTCACAGGCCCAGCCGCTCCGCGACATGTGGGATCTTCCCGGACCGGGGCACGAACCTGTGTCCCCTGCATTGGCAGGCGGACTCTCAACCACTGCGCCACCAGGGAAGCCCAGTAGTCAATCATTAATTGCCAACTGGATTACATACTCAATAATTGCCAAAGAAATCCAGAGGAGGGTGAGATCTTTCCAGTCTAGGTCAATCAGGGCAGGTATTTATGGACAGGACAGACTCTGATATGGGTCTTGAGGGATAAGTAGAGAGGAGGCGGGGGCAGAGATTTACTGGCAAAAGTTCAAAAGAAATTTTTTTTTTGCCACACCAAGTGGCTTGCGGGATATCAGTTCCGCAACCAGGGATTGAATGTGAGCCACAGCAGTGGAAGTGCTGATTCCTTAACCACTAGACCACCAGGGAGCTCCCCCAAGTTCTTATTTTATGAGGCCCAACCTGAGGCGTTGCCCTGAGTCCCAATGACCAGGGCTACCCTCCAAAACAGGACTAGATTTTTGTAGAATCACATTCTTTTCAGTTTCACAAAGATCATATTTCAGCCTACTTCCTTGATAATGCAAAGAGAGAGGACTCTCTGGCCTCTGTGGAGATACAATCTGGCCTCCAGCATGGGACAAACACAGTAGGCACTCACTAGATGTTGATGAATGGATGAATGACTCGAGCACTTATTATGTCCCAAACATTTTGCTACGTGCTTAAGATAAAAAAAAACAGACAGTTTCTGTCTTCAAGGTGCTCACAGACACCAAAGACTGTAACACAGAAAGGCTTCATAAGGAAAGAAGTCATTCTCAGTATCATTAATCCAACTGTCAGTACATTTTTATTTTTCACTTAAAGACATAATATTTGATTCTTTTCAAAATCTTATAGGCCTTCTCTCCAAAAAAAAATCCTGTTTGTCTACTTTTCCCCATCTGTACGGCCGCTAATCCAGTTCAAACGATCATCTCTCATCTATATTATTATGTCTTCTAACTGGTTTTCCTACTTCTACCTTGCCTCTTTATAATCCATCCTACATTCAGCAGCTGTGATCGTTTAAAAAGGCAAACTAGATCATGCTTAAAATTTTACAATGGTTTCCGATTACACTTAAAATAAGTCCAAACTCCTGCTCAGGACTTATAAAATTGTTTGATCTGGCCCTGTGCCTCTGGCCTCTCCTCACCTCACATCATGCTCCCAGCACTGACTTCAGCCATTCTGGCTTTCTCTCTGTTCCCTGTCCACACCCTGCTCATTCCTGTCTCTTGCTTTTGCTGCTCCCCTTTGCCAGAATGGCCCCTTATCATTCAGATCTCAGCTCAACTGAACCTCTTTGGTGACCTTCCTATCTAAACCTGCCACCCCTGCAGAAGTATATAGAATGCGGTACCTTTTGTGTAAGAAAGGTAGGCAAATATACATATACATTCATACTTGCTTGTATCTGCCCACACACACACTGGAAGGATATCAAATAAACTAGTAAAAATGGTTATCTATGGGGGGATTAGGTGGACTGGGACAAAGATGGATGCAAGACTGTTCACCATCTCTCTTTTTTTTTTTTTTCACCATATATTTTTTTATGCTGTTTTGATTTCTGAACCATATGAATTTATTATCTATTCAAAAAAAATAAATATGATGTAGGGAAATCAGCATCCCTAGCAGAGGCTTTCTACCCTTGGAAATGTGTCTGGAACCTGGCCTGCTCCTCAGAAGGTAAAGCCTGAGTCGGGGCGGGGAGGGGGCGGGGAGGTTCTGCCTTAGTCACCAACGGCCACTGACTTCTCCACATGTGACTCACCTCAAATGATAGTGCTAGAAAACAGACAAGGCCCTGCCAGGGTGGGGAGGGAACTGACATACCCCATGACCTCTTGACACCACCAGGAGAGCTTGCTCCACACCCAGCCAATCTGCTTCTAATGGTCCAGGGCTAGCTGCCACTGGAATGCAGTCTGATTTTCATTCAGCTCAGGCATCTGTTCTCCTTTGGGTAGTTGAAAACTGGAGAGTAAGAATAAACTCCAAGAATCAAGGGGAGCCCCAGGGAGTGGTATTAGCAGTGCGTGGGGGAAGGGTCATGCGACCTCACTGACTGGTGTCCTGGTCTGGAAAATGGGATTATCTCCAGCCAGCCAGGAGCGGCAGAGGATTAATCGGTATTTACAGAGTACAGGCAATAAGGACCGTGCAGAATGGTGTCCCATGAACACAACAGTTAAGAATTCATCTCACTCATTATACTTGCCTGGTAATCATGAGCTTCTCCTCATACTTGCCCCAGGAAGATACAATTATCTCTGGTCTGGCAAAGCTGGTAGAGAAATGACCTAGTGAAGGTGGCAGCTTTCATATCAAAATGCAGAGTACATGGCTGCATCAAAAACTTTTTTTTTTTTTTTTTCAGTAAATCCCAGGAAGAAACTAGGTCAGTTCACACAGTTCCCCACTTGCTATTTGTTAAACAGTACGCAGGCCCGCAGGAAGACCGGCTGATTACCTGAAACACTGTATCATGAAAATGGAGAGAGAACTTATTAGAAGAGTCCAGGAGTTCAGTCATGGGTAGGAAGATGGAACCTAGTCAGAGCCCCTGAAGAGAAAAAGAAGCTACCAAACTACTGTCAAGAGGACAGAAACAAACAGCTGACCATTTTACAGCACAGAAGTCTCACGGTGACCTCTGAAGAAAATCTGAACCACTGTACTTCTGTGGTGTCCACCTCTCGACAGACTCTGGAAGGCCCTATTCCTCTTGTAGTGGCCACTGCTCCTTTGCACCAAACCTCTATTCTGTGTGTGTCAGGAGTGCGGGGAGTGGGGGAAGGGGGGCCTGAACACAGTGGCCCCATTTCCTATGAATATATATTTTTTTAATTTCCAAATGTTCCAATTATGTTTTTCTTTTCATATATATAAATTCATTTATTTATCTATTTTTGGCTGCGTTGGGTCTTCGTTGCTGTGCACAGGCTTTCTCTAGTTGCAGAGAGCAAGGGCTACTCTTGGTTGTGTGCACGGGCTTCTCATTGCGGTGGCTTCTCTTGTTGTGGAGCACGGGCTCTAGGTGCGTGGGCTTCAGTAGTTGCAGCATGTGGGCTCAGCAGTTGTGGCTCGCGGGCTGTAGAACGCAGGCTCAGTAGTTGTGGCGCACAGGCTTAGATGCTCTGCAGCATGTGGGATCTTCCCAGACCAGGGATCAAACCCGTGTCCCCTGCATTGGCAGGCAGATTCTTAACCACTGCACCACCAGGGAAGTCCCTGAATATTTTGTACTAGCTCCACTGCCATCTACTGCCCCACCAAACCTGCCATCAGACCGACTCACCTGGACTGGCTCCTCCAAGACTCCACTGCAAATAGGACAGATAAGGTCTTCGTCAACATCCCCCTGGAAACGGGTTACATCATACCCCATGTCTCATCACTGAAACCCAGGTCCTGGAATGAACAACAGAGGAAAAAAGAGGCCAGTTCAGAAGATTACAGATATGTGCCAACTTGATCTCATTGCCAAGATTCATTCATTTGTCCGATAAATATTTGCTGAGAGCTTACTATGTGACAGTCATTTGGGTGGGTGGGGGAGCTGACTCAAGAAATTTAATTCTAATGGGAAAAGATTTTATATAAATAAACACTTAAAATATGAAGTGATAGGCCTCCCTGGTGGCGCAGTGGTTGAGAGTCCGCCTGCCGATGCAGGCGACGCGGGTTCGTGCCCTGATCCGGGAGGATCCCACATGCCGTGGAGGGGCTGGGCCTGTGGACCACGGCTGCTGGGCCTGTGCGTCCGGAGCCTGTGCTCCGCAACGGGAGAGGCCACGGCAGTGAGAGGCCCGCGTACTGAAAAAAAAAAAAAAAAAAAAATGAAGTGATAAATGCTTTTAGGGTGAGCACAGGGCACTATGAGACCAAGAGATGTGGATACCTGACCCAGGCCGAAAGGAGAGGGAGGCTGAGAAGTTTTCCAGGACACCAGTGGGACGAGCAAGAAGTTAGCTAGGTTGTGTGTGGGGGGCGGGGGGAGCTAGGGCAGGGTGGGGCATTAGGGTTTTAGGCACATGAAAGAGCATATTAAGAGCCCAGAAGGGAACTTCCCTGGCAGTCCAGTGCTTAGGAATCTGCCTTTCAATGCAGGGAACGCAGGTTCGATCCCTGGTCCGGGAACTAAGATCCCATGTGCCCTGGGGCAATTAACCCCGTGCCGCAACTACTGAGCCCATGTGCCACAACTAGAGAGCCCACATGCTCTGAAGCCCACGCGCCACAACTAGAGAGAAGCCTGCATGCCGCAAGGAGGAGCCCGCGTGCCACAACTAAAGAGTCCATGTGCTGCAACTAAGACTCGACATAGCCAAAAATAAATTAATTAATTAAAATAAATATTTTAAAAAAGAAGGTAAGAGGGGATATGATGAGTTCAGACAACTGTAAGTGGTTCAGAAAAAGTTCGATCTGAAGGGTGCAAGAGAGGGAGTGTCAATATACAAGGCTGGAAAGGCAAGTAAGGGCCAGGCCATGAGAAGTGTTATGTAAGGAGTTTGGACTTTACCCTGAAGGCTATGCGGAGCCACTGAAAGACTTAAAAGGAATGATGTGATAAAAGTTCTTTTTTAGAATCACTCTGTAAACAGGGGTGAGATTAGAGACAGGAAGAACATCTAGGCAGAAGAGAAGTAGTGAGGGTCTGAATTTAGGTGGTGGTGATGGGAGGGAAGTTCAGGAGAACAAAGACACAAAGAGCAGCGAGGCTGCCATGCCCCTTCTTTGGGCTCCTAAGGGTCAAACCCAAACAAGACATCACTGAACAGTAAGTGCAATTCCCCTGTGGACATCCAGCCAGTGGGCTAATTGGAGCAAGGATGGGTACCTGATATAAGGGCAGACAATCTGCAGACCAGCCATCAGCTGTGATGTCCTGAAAAAAATGAGCTGAGTCAATCATGTAGTTCTCAGGAATTCAGAATCAGGCTGTTCAATTTAAAAGGGTGGGGAGTGAGGGATTTCCCTGGCGGTCCAGTGCAACGGCCCAGGTTTGATCCTTGGTCAGGGAACCAAGATCCCACAAGCTTTGTGGCATGCCAAAAATTAAAAATAAATAAATAAAATTTAAAAATAAATAAATAAAAGGGTGGGGAATGGGATGGATGCAGAGAGGCCTTGATAGGTCAAGTGCAAGCTAAAGTACAGCACTGGACTGAGTCAAGACTGACTGGATTTAGATGCCCGGTTCCACTACTCATTAGCTGTGTGACCTTGGGCAGGCTTACGTATACTTCCTAAGCCTGCATGGCTTTTTAAACAGATAACATTGGTATAAGTAACAACAGAAGTGACTCTCACAGGGTTGCCCTCAAAAAAACAATACATATAAAACATTTAGCACAATGCCTGCTGGCACATACTAGGCACTCAATACACAAGAGTAACCATTATTTAGGTATACATTTTTTTTTTTTTTTTTTTTGGCCAAGCCACACGGCATCTTTGTTCCCCAGCCATGAATCCAACCCGTGCCGCCTGCAGTGGAAGTGCGGAGTCCTAACCACTGGACCGCCAGGGAATTCCCTATTTATGTACATATCTAATTTCTACTACTTGATTAGAAATTCCTTAAGAGTAGGACCTCAAGTGCTACATCCAATTTAGCACCAAGCACAGTTCTTTACAAAACAGTAAAATGTTTGGTGTGATTAAATGTTGCTTTAACTGGAAGCTTCCCAGCAGAGTACAGTGGACATGTATTTTGTCTACCTAACATCCCATTTTCTGTAAACAGCATCACAATTTTCCTTCAGGAATCAGAACCTGTTTCCTAGCGGACATGTGACCCAACCTAGGACAGTGAGAGAGATGCCTGGGACTTCTATTGGAGCTCTCATGGGGTTTGCATAGCTGGTAGGATGTACAATTCAGAGTGGTCAGTGACCATCTCTGCCATTAATGAGGACAGCCTACTTACAGAATGACGCCATAATTGGGAATTCCCTGGTGGTCCAGTGGTTAGGGCTCTGCGCTTCCACTGCAGGGGGCATGGGTTCAATCTCTGGTCGGGGAACTAAAATCCCACATGTCACACAGCATGGCCAAAAAAAAAAAAAATGACGCCATAATGCAGAAAGCAGAGCTGAGAAATCAAATTCAGGTGAAATCATTTGAGGGCCTGGATTCAGCCATGCCTGACACCACAATCACTTTCTGAACATAAGTTACATGAGTCAGTAAATTCCCTATTATGTTTAGGCTGGTTTGAGCTGGGTTTTTATCTCTTTAAACTGACAAAAATCCTGATTAATGTAGGCTAATGGAGACAAGAAATCACAAGGCTCACTTTGGAACCACTTATCTTTCTTTACCCATTTTATATAGGAACAACGATACCCAATGACATTGCTACGATTACACTGACCTCCATCACCACCACTTCTCTGTATTCTTGTTCCTCCATCTCTAGGGCCTAAGTTCAGGGCCTTGGGCTTACTAACAATCCCCCTGAAATTGTCACTCTAAACCACCTTGGTCTGGCTATCTTCCTCTAAAATAGGGATATCCATCTATTTGTCTCTCCTCAGACCTTTGACCTTCTGTTCCTATGCCAACATTCCCTTGAATAATCCATCAACAGTAATGGATTAGAGTGAGTGCATGAAGGGTAATATTAAAGACATCATAAAGTGAAATGTGAAACCAGAACTAAGGCCCCTTGTGATTCTCCTTGTTGCAACTCACTGGACTGAACAATGAGGACAGTGGTAAGACAGCCCAGAGCAGTCCAGTGTCACTGTCCTGTGGACCTCCACTACTGAGCGCTGTAGTGCAGACCATGGCGTTGTTCACTTTAGGAATTCTACTCCCTTTCTCTTTCATCCACATGGCTCCAGGAGAAGCTGCCTCACTAGTACTGTGAGACCTAGGCAGCAGCTGACTGGGACAAGGGTGAGCACGCAACCCAAGCAGGGCCAATGGATCCTATCTCTGAGAATTTGAGCTTGATACCAAGAAAGATGAGTTGGTCTTTCTTTGCCTGTAATGTGGACTGAGGAAGACAAATCTACAGAGGGAAAGAAAAGACTGAAACAGACACAGTGAGAAAGGCCTGGATGGGAGCTGGAAAGTCCTGAGGCTTCAGAGTGACTGGTTTGTTCCCAAGACCCAGTTGCCTTCCTATCTTTGGCTTCTGCGAGACACCCTGTGTATCCTCTTTTTTTTTTTTTTTTTTTTTTTGCGGTACGCGGGCCTCTCAGTGTTGTGGCCTCTCCCGTTGCGGAGCACAGGCTCCGGACGCGCAGGCTCAGCGGCCATGACTCACGGGCCCAGCCGCTCCGTGGCATGTGGGATCTTCCCGGACTGGGGCACGAACCCGTGTCCCCTGCATCGGCAGGCGGACTCTCATCCACTGTGCCACCAGGGAAGCCCTGTGTATCCTCTTTTTGCTTAAGCTTTGAGTTGGGCTTCTGTACCTTTTTAAAAATTATTTATTTATTTATTTGGCTGCACCGGGTCTTAGTTGTGGCAAGCGGGATCTTCGTTGCCGTGTGCAGTATCTTTAGTTGCAGCATGCAGGATCTTTTAGTTGCGGCATGCAGGATCTTTTAGTTGCAGCGTGCAGACTCTTAGTTGCGGCATGCGGGATCTAGTTCCTTGACTGGGGATCGAACCCAGGCCCCCTGCATTGGGAGCACGGAGCCTTAACCACTGGACCAGCGGGGAAGTCCCTGCACTTCTGTATCTTACAGCCAAAAGAATCCTGGCTCAAACAACAACAAAGAGACAGCATACAGCATTAGAAGTTTGGAGAGGGATGGTTTAAATTAGGACTAATGAAGGCGCTAGGACACTAGGATCAGAATTAATCTGAAAGCTATGGGAGCACCTGAAGGATTTTCGTTGACATAAATTTACAGGGTTTAATTTTTTATCTTGACAATTTCAGACTTACAAAGATCCCATATATCCTTCATACAGACTCCCTAAATGTTAACATTTAACCACATTTATTTTATCATTGCTATATATATACACTGATAGATGGATAAAAATTTTCTGAACTGCTTAAGAGTAAACTGTAGACTTGATGCTTTTAACCCTAAATAACTTTACTGTGTACTGTATTTCCTAAAAAGAACATTATTTTATATATTGATAGTAAGATTATGAAAATCAGGAAATTAACACTGATGTAATACTATATTTACAAACCTTTTTTCCAATTTTTCCAACTGTCCCAATAATCTCCTTTAGCAAAAGAACATTCAAGATTATGCTGAATTATGTTATGCACTGAACTGTCAAGCTTCTTTAATCGTTTAACTGAAAAAGTTACTAAATCTTTTTTGTCTTTCATAAATTTGACATTTTTAAGAATACACACCAGGTATATGAGAATGTCTCTCAATTTGGATTTGTCTGATGTTTCCTCATGATTAAATTCAGGTTTC